CGTGACTTATATAGCTCCAGGATGTGTAGTGGATGAGAGCCTGGCGTTCACCTTCGCCTGTCGGAACTACACCAGCTGGAGCTTTAATACTACGGACGTATTAGATGAAATAAAAGAAAATACCAGTAAATACCTTGGTAGTGTCTGCGTTTCGTGTTTATAACCTCCCATGGCGGTGTGGGTATCCGTCCGTGACTTGAACCTGTGGCTAAGAGAAGTATTTCTTAAGATAATTTACCAATAAAAACCATAAACCGGCAGCTCCTAGGCGGTGGTTTTATTTTATTTATAAATATTATGTAATTTGTAGCTGCGGTTTTCATTTGCCTTTTTTTATTAATTATTATTTTGTTTGTGTATGTATTTTAACTGCGGTTCTCACTTTGCGATTCTGTATTTGTGGTTTTACCTGCGGTTTTGTTGTTGTTGCTTAGTTTAATTTGAATAAACTGCGGGTTTTTTGTAGTTTGTTTCCTACTTGCGGTTTTTTGTGGTTTTTGTACTTGCATTTCTTTTCTTTTTTTAACTTTTTTTCTAACTGCGGCAAGGAGTAGAGCGAGGGGTGTGCTGATGCGGTCGAGGGGGATGCAAGGAACGGGGGAATAAGAAAAGACGAGAATAAACATAAGAATAAACATAAAAACAAGAAAAGACGAGAATAAACATAAACAACGAAAACAAAAAACAAATGAAGGACGATTTTTTAAATAGAGAAAATGAAAACACGGAAGAGCAAAAAGCAAAAATAAAAATAAAAATAAAGATGAACTTAGTGAATGAGAGAAGAGAGAAGAGGATGATAATAATGAATAAATGATATAATGAGAAAAATATGCAAAGAGATGACCAAAATGACAGATAAAGATATAAAAGATGGGAAAGCAATAATGAATTAACGAAAGAATGAAATATATTGATAAAAATAATGAAAGATGCAGGAGAATAATGAAAATAAAAGACTGAGATAAAATGCGATAAAAAGGGGGAGACAGGAGAAAGAATGGATGATATAGGAAGAATAAGATGAGAAGAATCATGAATGAATATGAGAGAGAGAGAGAGAGAGAGAGAGGGAGAGAGAGAGAGAGGGAATGATATATTACAAAAAGAAAGACGACTAAAAAACTTGATAATAAAGAATAAATGAGGTTCGAGAAGAAAGAAAAATAGGAGACAAGAAGGAAATGAAGAAAGAAGGAATATGGATGAAGAAAAGAACAATAATACGAACAAGAATAAGAAGAAAATAGAAAAAAATCGATTGAAAATGTGAAAACAGCAAAACATAAATAGAGACAATAACAAGAATTAGTGATAAGGGTGATAAACAGGATCTAAAACATAAAGGAAGATAAGAAGAGAAAGAAATGAAGATGAAAAGAATAAAAAGTACAAAAATATGGTAATAAATAAGATAATGAGAGAAATAGAATAAAGTGATGATATATATATATAAAACAATAAATCAGAGAATGGGAGAAATAGAATAAAAATCGATGAACTATACAAAAAAGTACAATAAATATGGGAGATGGAAGGAGAGAATAGAGGAATAACAGTAAATAAATACTTACACAAAAAATATTAAATTAAAGTTACAGAAAAATACGAAAATAGACATAGAAAAATACTGAATAAAGAGAGGAAATGAGACAGAGCGTATATTTTTTATAGAACCAAAAACACCAAAATATATAATAAAAACAGAAAAATGGAAGAGGCAGAGATAAAATATTTAATAATGGAAGGAATTAGGAAAGACGAAGATAATAAAAAAATAAAAAAACGAAAGAGAAATAAGAAAAAATAAAAGATTAATATTGACTAAGGAAAGGTAGTTCAGAAAAATACAATTTACGACAAAAAAAATTACGACCAAAAATTCTTATCAGGACAAAAATCTTCAGACTGGAAGATAATTATCAAAAATACAAAAGTACGGAGGAAAGATTTTTTTTTTAGTAATTCTTTTGTTTTTTCTGGGTTTTTGTTTGTTTGTTTGTTTGAAAAAGAGGGAATAAGGAAGAGGAAGAGGACTAGGAGGACTAAGACACACAGGTCCGTCATGCGAAATTGTGCATGAATAAAAACAAAAACAATATATATATATATATAGAGAGAGAGAGACAAATCAAACAAAAGCTCTAACTAGGGTAAAAGCACAAAAAAGTGGCATTAACAAAATCCCAAAGCTTTTTTTTTCATGTCTAGACTCTAAAAGACATCACACATTGAGTTAAAACAGTGTGGTGGTGGTGGTGGAGGGGAAGGGGGGTAAAAAACCAAATACTTTTGTTTGTTTGCAGAAAATTCCATCAATTGAGAGGGTTTTTATTTATATATGTATTTTAAAAGGTTTTTCATGGTAGGGAGATGAGGGAATGAAGGGGGGAGAGAGAGGGAGGGAAGGCAGTGATAAACCTTTTCAAAACACTAAGACTCTGAGAGCTAAGTAGGGAAGATGGGAACAAACTGCTTTATGCATGGTGGTGGTGGTGGTCATAATAATAATAAAGAATGGTAATAATAATAAAAATAATAAGAACGATAATAAGAACGAGAATAAATGATAAATGGAAAGAATAACGAGGTAAACAGCGATACAATGCATTATAGAAAACTATGAGGGAGGTGTAGCAAGAGAGAGCCGTCTGTGACTAATAACAAATGAATAACATAACACAACGAACCTAAGTTGGGGGGTGTGGGGGGCTGAGGGCCATGAGGGGCGGGGGGGGCTGATGGAATGGTGGGGAGGGAGGGATTGGAGGGGGGGGAGGAGGGGAAGACTGGCTTAGCTCGGCTTTGTTCTGATGGGGACGTGGGTTGGGGGGGAGAGGGGACATTGGGAGGAGTTTGTTAATGGGGAGGGGGCTTGGACTGGGGCATTGGGAGGGGAGGGGGATGAGGGAGGGCTGCGGGCGGGTGGGCGGGCGGGCGGGCTGCGGGTGCATCAGCAACACAAAAACCAAAACTGAACCCACAAACGTAAGAGAAGCTAACAAGTAAAGATAGATAGATATATATATACGGATAACAAGTCATAGATGAGATACGTAAGATTGGATTAAGATGTAGAGCTGACACTGTGGCTACTTACTCGGTATGCCTGATACTAGTTTTAAAGGTCTTAGCACCCGGATAGCTCTCAGTGTTCTTAAGTCTACGTCTACCGTCTCCTGCCCAAATAACGTGATGAATCTGAAAAGCAAGGACAAAACCGTAGCTACCAACTAATGAACACTAGGTCACACTACTCACTAGTCATAATCAACTATTGTTTGAAACACTTACACTAAATCTATGAAAAATTGTTAGAAATATTATTTAAAACCAGAGAGAAGGAGAGTTGGGGCTGGGGGGAGCTGGGGAGACTATGGCCTGGGGGGGCAAGGTAGCCTAGAGGAGAGAAGAACGTCCACGAAGAGAGATTATACTGGAAATACTAGTTCCTATTACGAGTGAGGGGCAGAGAGAGAAAGAGAGAGACAGTTAGAGTGAGAGAGGTGGGGGGAGGGGGGCGAAGACACACCCAGGGGGGGGGGGGGCAGGCGGCAGAAGCCCGGGGCATCACACTACCCGGACACACAAGGACCATATAAGAACACGCTGCTGGTACTGGCTGCTCGACTATACAGTCTACCTTTGTAAAATAAGCGAGGCTGCTTTAGCGGGTAAATAGTAAAGAAAATGTTAGGTAAAAATTCAGTTTCTAGTTGGTCGGCCAACTACTAAAGTGATCTATATACCTATAGTTGTCAGTATAATTCTACTACAGGTTGATGCTGCATTCATGGCGCCCAGCTCTAGGTCATTCAGACACACAATAGAATCTATGTCTGTATACAGGAACCCAAATCTAAGTATTACTAACCAGTACTAATGTTCCGATCAGGGGCTATAGGTATATGATCCCATGCGTCCACTGTTCCTCCCTACAGAGGAAATAATACACTGACTCAAAACCAACAGCAATATTGGATAAATCTATTCCCCCATAGAGCATTAAAATTCTTCTGCTCTACATCTACCATACTATTTACCATGTCTAGAAGAATCATTCACCGCGGCCGTGAGCTACCCACTAGAACGAGGCCGCAGCAGCAGCAGCAGCAGCAGTAGTAGCAGCAGCAGCAGAAGCAGTGACGGGGGGGACAGCAGGAGCTGCACAGGGCCATACCATTACCAAGTTCCTCCACCCGGCACGAGGGCTGCACACCGAGCCAAGACGGGACCCTCGCAGGGCACTCCCCACCACGCCCTCACCTGCCACACACTCACCAGGGGAGGCACAGGTGGTGAAGGAGAGAAGTACACAAGAATAAAGGTAATAAGGAGAGAGAAGTACAGTAGAGGAAGGAGAGCACGGTGAGAGGAGTACCTCCCCGGGACTCTTGCCAACACTGCCAAACTTTATGCTGTGACAAACAAACTAAAAACTATCTGAGGTCTTGACATCAGTTGCTAGGCAACAGCATCTATAATCAGAGGGTCTACCTGGTGCCCACCTGAGAGGTGTATGGAGACTGTTAATTACTACTATTGTGACACACTTTCAACACTACTGCTGGCATCTTACAGGTGTCACCAGGGACTTGTTCTGATAACATATATTGTTTAGGTGTTGCGGGTGATATATGGCAAGCTTGAAGCACTCACTAATACGTCTAATTATTTATTGTTTATGTTTTGGCGAGAGTCAGTTGGCAGAGGTGAGTGTGAGGAGGAGAGTGGCAGGAGGGAGGGACGGAGGGAGAGCCTGGTGAGGGGGGGGCAGGTCCAGACCTAAGAAGTGGGAAGTGAGAGGTCCCTGGCGAGGGCCCCTTGATGGTCCGGGTGAGCCCGGATATGGCCCCGTGGGTGCCACCTGGCAGCTCCACCACCACCGCCGCCGCCACCGTCGCCGCCGCCACAGTGCCGCAGCGTGAGGGAGCGAGACTACCTAGCGAGCAGAGGACCGGGAGGCTGCAGCAGAAGGCAGTGTTCACCGGGCCACTTACTTGGCAGCCGTGAGACCAACTTCAGGGGCCTGAGGACGCGGAACGAGCGAAGCATCCTCAGATCCACAGTTTGGCCAAAACTGTCCGCTGCTATTATTGTCATACCGCTGTCGTAGGGAGATACAGCCAAATACCATCACAGGACCCAGCAGCGGCAGCTACTAACGCACCACCCACGTATACAGTCCCCATACTAGTCTAATTGCTTTACAGTAAGCCAATTATCCCTGTTATACCACCCACTAAATATTTTATACACAAAGTTAACATTAAGTAGTGAAGCTGAACCCTCCCATGACTGGTCCACAGTTCACCCAAGGTGCACTGGTGGACCGCTACTTCACAAACATTATCTACAACTTTTAATCTTTAATGAACATTATATGAACAGAGTGATGGAACCTGAATGTATCCTCTCCTATTCTAGCAATTTTGAAATATCCCATGCAAGTGTATTACTCTATGTGACTTATTAAATCAATTGAATCTGAATGGGGATACGCAGAAATGGGGACAGTAGGCAGCCTGACAGAACCTCGTAAAGGACATAACAATAATATTAGTGTTAGTGGCATCGACACACACATGAGGAACACCCCAGCAGGCAGCCTCGCGAGCCACGACGGTCCAACACCTCTACAGGACCAGAGATCATCTTTGCTCCTCCTGCGTGTTGACCGTCGCCGCCAGCCAGCTCTCCTGCCGAGGTGTTCCCGCTCATATATCAGTATTATAAGTGTACAGCGGCGCGGGTCTGGCTCATCCGTGACGTCCTCGCTGAAACACAAGAGTTAGGGTGAAGGGGAGGGTGGTGGGGCGGCACTCTGGGGCGGCTCTGTCATAAAACTAGTATTATTATATTGAACTCATCCTCTGTAAAAGATACCTATTACACACATACAGTATAATACACCCCTATACACAATAAATTGAGCTTTACTACAGATAAACACATTGACTTGAGCTTCCTAATATGAATTAAATCTTCGAGAACAAGTTTGAAACAAATTCTTGACGAATATAACAAAGATGATCTATTTCTAACTGAATATTAAGAGAACAAATAAATATAACTACCTACAGGTTGCCCTACTCCATCAGGTAAACAACAACGAAATACCTGTCTTGATACACCTAGCTCTCTACCTTAATATTCACCCCACACCCTTTATCCTTCCCCCTCAAAAAGTACCCAACTAACCTAACCAAACATTAACCCACACCAATTAGCACCCCAAAGCCCCTCACATTCACCCCCATTACCCATTTACAAGCTAGATCCTATTAACAACCAACTGTATACCCATTAATATCCACACCCCATTAGCAGAGAATTTTGGTTTATGACTAACACCCATTTTATTATGATTTATCCCTCCCATTGACATCCTCACTTGATAATCCTGTTGTCACCCTTCCCTTCCCTCACCCATCACACATACACCCTCCCACCAACACCTCCCTCCCCCTCTCCCTTTCCAATCGACCCTTCCCTCCCCCTCTCTCCCACAAGTTCCAATGACCCCCTCTCCCTATACCATCCCATCCCCTCCCTCCTACCACCCACAACCCCCACCCCACCCACAACCCACCCACCCACACCCACCCCACACCCACAACCCACAACCCCCCACCCCCAAAAAATAAACAATTCAACAACAAGAGGAAATTTAACCTACCCTGTGACCACAACCACGAAATCCATGATGTTCCATATGTTCCTCAAGTAGGACCTTGGGTGAAGAACGAATCCGAGAGCGAGGATCTTAAGAGACGCCTCGACGCAGAAGATGAAGAGGAAGTAAGGTTCTGTCTTCTCCTGTAAGGCATTATGGGAGAGGGGAAGGGGGGGTTATTATCTGATAGTGGGGGGGTCCTGTCTAGTTGTGTTATCTACCTGTCTATCTATTTATGTGATCTAGATTTTCTTTCCTTCCTTCCTTCCTTCCTTTCTCAATGAGGAAGGAAGGAAGGAAGTTGAAGGAAGGGGAGGAAGAAAAAAAGAAAGGGAGAGAAATGGAAGAAAGAATGGAAAGAAGAGATAAAAGAAGGAATGGAGAAAATTTCCTTCTCTTTCTACTTTCCTTCCTCCTCCTTCTCTTCCTCAGTACTCCTTATCTTCCTCCTTCACATATCATATTTATTCTAATCTTTTATTAATACAAACATCTTAAGTTGGTCTCATCTACCGAATCCAACAACAGACTTTAACAAACTATTTATAATTAATGTTATAAATATTTTAATACATTTCATTTGGTTAGGATATTGAGTGGTGATTTTTAGACTTCTTAAAATTTATATTCATGAATAATAATTAGAGAAAATAGTTGGTGGGATATTATTATATTTATTCAGTTAATATTACCAATGAAATACTTAAATAAATCCAATAATGTAATAAAATATAAACTTGACTTCGTCCTTTGGCAGCTGAGAGAAAATAAACAAACATCGGTGACGTCACAACACGCCACCAATCAGTGACGTCACAATCACATCATCAAACAGTGACGTCACAACACGCATCACCAGCATATGATGAAGTCAAATACCTGTGATGACGCCATGACACCTGTGCTATACCTTACACGTGTGCAAAGGTTCTTATAGATGATGATAATAATAATAATAATAACAATAATACACACCATGTTATTAATACTACATAATAACAATAATACAGGTAAGAACAAACTCTACAGACGTAATTAATGACAAGGTAGATTAACAATTACCTGAGACGAGTAAGGTACAGCAATAATAACAACATTAAAGGTAATTAAACAAACAACACCTGTAACACGAGGAGAAATATAACCCCTGTATATACTACACAACATACTACTGTATAACAACCGCTATTAATTAACAACAGGTGAGGTTGTTCCCACCAGGTAAGTAAGGTTATATCCTAAAATATGGGATAACTCTTTCGCTTATTGGTCAACTCACACACACACACACGGTAGTGAATAGGCTATACTAGATGATGGATTAGTGCTATGATGGATCAGTGCTATGATGGATTAGTGCTATGATGGATTAGTACTATGATGGATTAGTGCTATGATGGATTAGTGCTATGATGGATTAGTGCTATGATGGATTAGTGCTAAGATGGATTAGTACTATGATGGATTAGTGTTGTGATGGATTAGTGCTATGATGGATTAGTGCTATGATGGATTAGTGCTACGATGGATTAGTACTATGATGGATTAGTACTATGATGGATTAGTGCTATGATGGATTAGTGCTATGATGGATTAGTACTATGATGGATTAGTGCTATGATGGATTAGTACTATGATGGATTAGTGCTATGATGGATTAGTACTATGATGGATTAGTGCTATAATGGATTAGTGCTATACTATATGATGGATTAATTCGCTAACTAGGGACATAATATGCTATAGTTATTTGTTGTGTGTAGGGTGGAGGTGTTATAGGAGGGGCTGGGGCTGGAGGGGTCTGGAACAAGTGGAGGGAGGGGGCTGGAGGGGTCTGGAACAAGTGGAGGGAAGGGGCTGGAGGGGGCTGCAACAAGAGGAAGGGTCTGGAACAAGTGGAGGGAGGGGGCTGGAGGGGTCTGGAACAAGTGGAGGGAGGGGGCTGGTGGGGTCTGGAACAAGTGGAGGGAAGGGGCTGGTGGGGCCTGGAACTTGATGGGGCTGGAATAAGTGGACGGAGGGGGACTGTAAAAGTGGAAGGACTAAAGAGCTTAATAGAACCATGGCCTAATAAAGCCTTAATAGAACCATGGTCTAATAGAGCCTTAATAGAACCATGGTCTAATAGAGCCTTAATAGAACCATGGTCTAATAGAGCCTTAATAGAACCATGGTCTAATAGAGCCTTAATAGAACCATGGTCTAATAGAGCCTTAATAGAGTCTCAGTGTAGTTACATGAACACAAGTTATGACACAACTAACTACAGTAACTAAAGTGTAGCCTTGAAGGGAAGGTTCCATCAGTTATAAGTGTCTAAGTATAAGTAGTGACACTTAACTGAAGGTGATTTTGAATTTTTTTGTCCTTAAAATTTCTTACAATACAGTGATTCTGATTCGAGATTTGAAACGGTAAACGTTAAGTGACTTTTCGTGATTCTGTTAAAAAAATGAAAATCAAATTGATATATATTAAAGTTTGACTTAGGATTAAAATGGTGTTAATGTTTGAGAATCTGAATGACCGTTAAAACAGTTACAAAAATAAATATCTACTTATGCAAATGACCGTTAAATCCGTTACAAATATTTAAATATCTACTTCAGTTAATAACCGTTAAGACCGTTACACTCGGAAACGGTCCACCGACCACTGAGGGGAAAACTTCCACCTTAAGGCCACACACGGAGACACACACACACACAGACACACACAAGAGAGAGAGGGAGAGAGAGAGAGAGAGAAAGAGAGAGAGAATAAAGATAACAGGAGTCTCGGTTACTCTCAAGATGGCAGAGAAAGATTGAGGCTTACCAGCTGTAGTGCATCATCGTCCGGAAGTCCAGTCCAAACGGGAGGGGGGGGAAACGTGGGTGGAGGGGTAGATGAGACACAAGACATGGTGAGTGTGTGAGGGCCATGGCCAACAGTACAAAGGTGGGTGGGTGGGGGTGGGGGGTGGGGGGGTTAAGGCTCGTGTGACCCCCAAGAATATTTTTTGGTTTTGTTTACAGTTGAAGAAGAGCCGGTGTTCCCCTGAGGGCCGTGTCCCCGTGGTTTAAGGGGCCGATGTTTCCTCCAAGGGTATACAGTATTATAAGAGGTTAAGGAAGGCCGTGACCCTTTAAAAAGTTTTACACTAAGGGGCCGGTGTCCCTAAGGGTATAATGAAGTCGTGTCCTAAAAAAAGGGTTTATAAGGGCGGTGTCCCCAGTATAACATGAACAACTGTTCCCCCTCTAGAACACATAACAGCCGGTGGTGTCGTGGTTAAGGGCCTTGTTCTGTAATAGTAGTTGTTTTTAAGGGGTCGATGTCATTTTAACGGGGGCAGTGTCTGTTTAACGCGGTCGATGTCTGTTTAAAGGGGGGTCAGTGTCTCTTTATGGGGGTCAGTGTCTCTTTAAGGGGGTCAGTGTCTCTTTAAGGGGGTCGGTGTCTCTTTAAAGGGGTCGGTGTTTCATTTAAATGGGGTTGAATTAGGTATAGTTAAGTAGTTAAGTAGTAGTGAAGGTGTTAAGTGAGGATGGTCTCCCGGTAGATACAGTGAACACTACCATATGGACCCAGAGATGTAGGTGTAGGTTTCTCTGGGTGTTGCTGTGTAGCTCAGAGTAACCAGAAGGTCTTTGTGTCCAGGTGTATGTGTAGTGTGTACCTGTAGGATCTCCCTCGCTACACTGCCTAATAACCTGGGTGTTACTTGACCAGGTGTATGTAAGGGGGGGGGGGGTACTACTGTGTGTGTATGCTCTGTGAAAGTGTACCGTACTGTACTGTGTGTGTATGCAATGTACTATATCGAGTGTGTGTGTGTACAGTACTGTGCCGTGGGTGTGTGCTGTGCTGGTAACTCTACAGCAGCGTGTACTGTGCTGAGAGGTGAAGGTGTAGTACAGTGACGGGAGGGTGTAGAAAGTAATGTAACTGTGCAAAGTATGAGATAAAAGTACAAAAGTATGGTAGCAGTGTGTGGCGTTGAGAGAAACTAACCATATTAAAAAAAAGTTACTGCACTGTTTTGTCTGTTTTGGTCATTAAATTCTCCATAATCATTTTAAAAGAATACTTATATATTATGAATCTCTAACTGTCGACCTTCACATATGACACATCTACAATAACACTGACTCATAACCTATTAACATTATAAAGACCATTTTAGCTTACATAAAACAAATATATACTTGACATTATTAAGTTAAAAAAATATATATATATTTTTTTGGTTGAGCTTGATAAACTATGAGAAGATAATGATTTACTTATGGTCTTCGAAGAACTATGGAAAATGTCAGGTTTTATTTGAAGACATCTACACCTGGTAATATTATGACACTGACTTACAATATTACAAAACAATAAAATATTCTGTATTGGTAACTAACTTGACCTGATAAAAAATTTAAATCAAATTAAAATTTAAACAAAACAAAACAGACATTTATAACACACACACACACACACACACACACACACACACACACACACACACACACACACACTCTCGCAGCACTACACCAGAATGACAACAAAAAACTGAAACATAAAAAATAATAATAAACATGGTGTCTAGTTAACAGGGTAAGGCGTGAAGGTAGCTTATGTGAGACGGCATTAATAGTGGTACCAAGTCACTCATATACTGTATAGGGAGGGGGCAGGCAGGTCACCTTATACAGGTCATCAGTACACCAGCAGGTCAAGTCTTCTTAAGTGTTGTGTGCTGCAGTCCTCAGAAGTACACGACACAACACAAGCCCTTCAATCTGCCTCAACCTACACCACCAGTGCCTGTGGACGACCCTGGGTGTAGCTAGAGCCACACAACACCTGAGGGCCTGGGTGTAGTGCCAATAGTGCCACACAACACCTGAGGGCCTGGGTGTAGTGCCAATAGTGCCACACAACACCTGAGGGCCTGGGTGTAGTGCCAATAGTGCCACACAACACCTAAGGCTACCACACAGGCTCAGAAACTCATCAACACCTCCACCTATATTCACCAAATCTTCCTCTTGCTAAAAAAAATAAAATAATAAAAAAATAATAATAAATTAATAAAAATCTAAAACAAAAAACAGCGATAAATATTATTTCTAAGTCTTCATTCAGATTTACTTTAATACTTATAAAAAATTACTTCAAGTTACAAAAATATTATAATACTTTCAAAATTAAAGATGGTAAGTTAAGTGTGGTGAAAAGTAGCAAAATATATTAAAGAAATTACTTAAGTGTATGTATGTATGTATGTATGTATGTATGTATGTATGTATGTATGTATGTACGTATAAACACAAGAACATTACCAAAATAAAAACAAAAACAAATGAAAAACTAACAAAAACAACAAAATCAAAACATTAACAATTTCTTTACACAGACAGGTGGTGACAGGTGGTGGTGTTGATGACCTCCCAGCTGGTACTGATCACCTGTGGGGGGTCAGTGGAGAGGATGTGGGGGGTGGGGGGGGTCCTGCATTGCTCACATGAACCACCTGTATGCAAATTAGTTCCTATCAACTGGACACCTGCATTGTGGCTCATCAAACTGTGCTACCTGGAATGGTGTTGCAATAATTATAATCAATGACAAATCACCTCACCTGCAATAACACACAGGTGAGTATTAATTAACACCTTCCAATTTCTCTAAAAATTATGAAAGGCAAAAAATCAGTGAATGTAAACAATAACTTAAGTCGCTGTTTACTTTTTTACTTGTTTATTTGTTTACTGGTGTTTATAAGGTACACGTAACAACCGGGAACATACAAGTGATGTGAACTAAGTGTCTATCATCTTGTAACGTGTCTTGACTTAGGTACTTGTAGATGGTAAGATACAAGTCAATTAGCATCACTAGTACAAGTCAAGAGTCAATTACCACCACTAAAACAGGTCAGTTACCATCTATAGTACAAGTTACAAGTCAGTACAAGGCAGTAGTCAATTATACCATCACAAGTAATACCAATTAACAAGTTAGACACACACACACACACACACACACACACACACACACACACACACACACACACACACACACACACACACACTGAGGAGCACAGTTTGTCCTTGAGCCACAGAGTATCACTTGGCCACACCTGAAGCAAGTAGTACACATTCATATCAAGACAGCATTAATATCATAAGTCAAGCCAAGTAGCTATCATCTCCCTCAGCAGTTTATTATTATCACTAACTAAGAAAGAGACAGACCCAACAGGTGAGCTCTATGATGGTTGTAACTCCCACAATAAATAACTTTATAATCGCCTCTCTGGGTAAAGAAATTCTCACCCGGTCACTGTTAGTTAAGTTTGGGATCACATTGATGCGTTTTCTATTCAAGGTGTGACTGAGTTAAAAATCAGATGGGTAATTAATTTAAGATAGTTAATGGATATTGGTGGGTTAATTAAGAAGAGTAATTAGTAGTTAATGTGAGTGATTTATTAAGATTCTACATTAAATAATTATAAAAACATTAAGTATCCAATGGGAGTTTCTAAAGTGAAGTTTATTTCAATTTAGCCAAGTTTATAGGCCATTGAAAAGGTAACTCATAGGATAGACTTACTTATTGTGGTTCAAACATAACACACCATCACAATATATATGTCAGGTCTGTCCCCGAGAGAGAAAAAGAGAGATAAAGAGAATTAAAAGTTATACCATGCAGTAAGAAAAAGTAAAAGAATTATTATTTAACTATCCTAATATAGAACCTCTCATGCAGACATTTCATGCATGCTTAAAAAAATGCATAAATATATACTTGGTCTTTTGCATTCTTTAAAACAAACACGAATGCATGATAACGAACCACAAGCTATAAAATGAATATATTATAATCAATACAGAGAAAAAGACAATCGGTACTGCCATCTATTTACCACAATACTAACTAACTAACCACTCTAATTATGGCTAAAATATCTCATTACAGACAAAACTAATTTACGGTGCAGCTAATTTGTTTATTATTTTATGAGTTTAGTTTAGTTTTTTTTCTAACTAATATGACGTCGGGTTTGGTTTAATTAGTTGAGGAGGGGAGGGTGGGAGAGGGGAGGAGGGGGGGCAATGACTAGATGAATGAAGGGGGGTTGGTTGTGGGGGGGGGGGAGATAAGTGAGGTCAGTGTATGGTTAAGAGTGAGGGTTAGGGAGAGAGGGAGGGAGGTGAGGAGGGGGTCTTATTTCTTAATCCCACTCAATCCCACTTCTGTGACCTCTCCTCTCGGCCTCCCTCTCCTCTCTTCCCCTAGACACACCCACACACTCACTCATCCACCCTATTCCCCATAACTACCATGATTTGAAGTTCGTTATGGTTGGCCCTCCCATATTACAACTACTGTGGCCCTACCTCTATTATGCTACCATGATCGACGACGTTATGGTGGTGACCCTCCCAAAATACCATGATCCCCACGTAATGGCGCCGTACAGTCCCATTTCCGGTACAATACGACAATATTTTCAACTAATAAAAACTTTGACTAACACAAATACGTCATAAAATCAACAATGGTGAGATAATGTGTGTGTGTGTAGTGTTGTAACCGACCAAAACAAGTGACGAATAGTTGGTATCGTGTTGTAACCGACCAAAACAAGTGATGAATAGTTGGTATGGTGTTGTAAGCGACCAAAACAAATGACGTATGGTCTGTGTAGTGCTATAACCGACCAAAACAAATGACGTCAACAAAAACCACTGTCAAATAACAACCAAACTCCCTCCTCTTCTCGGTTATCAAGAATTATACGAATTATACGGATTATTAAAGGAATATAACTAATGCCGTAGTCTGGTCATAGTTAATATTGATTATAACTGCCGGGATTATATACACACACCTGTATGTACGCTGATATTAATGTTAGGAGAGACAGGGCTGAACTAATCAATTCTCCAGCCAGCTCAGACCAGCCCAGGAATGTGGCTCTCGCGTGTGTGTGTGTGTGTGTGTGTGACAATCAGAGGGTGAGAGAGTGACGAGGAGTGACGAGGGAGTGACGAGGGAGGGGAAGAGGTGATGAGGGAGTGACAATGACAAGGGAGTGACGAAAGGAGAGTGACGAGGGAGTGACGAAGGAAGAGTGAAAGGGACTGACGAAGGAAGAGTAACGAAGGAGAGTGGCAAGGAAGAGTGACGAAGGGAGAGTGACGAAGCGAGAGTGGCAATGCTGAGTGACGACGGAATATTTAAGTAACCGTCAAATAATATGGTAGGTACTCAAAGAACAAGTACTCATCCCAGTGACGCGTTACAACCCCCTCTCCCCCCCCCCAAGTGTGACATAAATAATACTCAACACTCACCCCAACAACAATAAAAACCACACCATTTTTCACGACTCTAAACCGGAAAAAAATAAAATAAAATAAATAAGTCAAGATATACCCAGGTAGCTAATGACGTCACAGGAGGGATTGAGGCGAGGGTAAATTTATCCTTCCTTATCCAGATATGTTCTATAAGTCAAGTAGCCTATTATAACCGGATGTTTGCGTTCAAAATATGTCGACAGGCCTCGCTAGACGAACTCCTGGTGTATAAAAATTTCGTATACCGAGGACTGTCTACAACGGAAAGTAAATAAATAAATAAAGTTCTCATTAATTTTAAGGAAGTTCCAACAATGAGTCAAAATACGAGTTGGTGTCAGGTGATGTCTGAGGAGGACGCTACAGGGAGCTGAAGTATAAGATACTGAAGCATGGGTGACGTAACACAGGGAGAGAGGAGTGTGATTGGTGGACCCGGATATGCACAGGCGGTGATTGGTGCTCCCAGACCCACCACCCACAACACTTGCTGCTGATGACGTAGGGATTACGTAGTGTACAGTGACGAACAAACAAATGATGTCACAGTGACACAGTAAAGCCGGTAAGATGAACGTTGTTATAGAGAGAAATTATGAAGTAACAAGAGAGTGAAGACCCAGTGACAGTGAAGAACAGTGATGGGTGACGCACGCACAGTGAAGCACAGGCAGGTCACCACAGCTGGCTACCCCTTGCTCCCAGGTAACTAACAGGAACAACTAATGACGTCTAAGTTTATTATTGCTACTTAACGGTGCGGGACTAGTAATGCATACATACATAAATGTTGTAATTTTATATATATATATATATATATATATATATATATATATATATATATATATATATATATATATATATATATATATATATATATATATATATATATATGAAGAGCGTTACATGCATTGCTAATGATCTATAATAAATATCTCAACTACAGCATCTGGTACTCAAGATATACTATATCAAAATGCTCTAGACAGCTGTAATAATAATAATAATAATAATAATAATAATAATAATAATAATAATAATAATAAAAACAATGATAACAATAATAACAATAATAATAACAATAATAACAATGATAATAATAATAATAATAATAATAATAATAATAATAATAATAATAATAATAATAACAATAATAATAATAATAATAATAATAATAATAATAATAATAATAATAATAATAATAATAATAATAATAATATAACAATAATAATAACAAAGAGAGGGGTTAGACTACACTGGTGCTAATATACCTGCGAGGGAGTAGGCGGGTCCACCACCCCGGGGCCTCACACCCTCCCTACCACAAGGACCACCTCTACTATACAGGGTCACTGTGGCCCTTGAGGTGGGGGGAGGGGAGGGGAGGGGTGGTGGGTGATGGCTGGGCGGGAGAAGGAGCTGTAGGGGGGTAGGGAGGGGGGGGGGGGGAGATTAAGAAGGTAAGCGTACCAAGTTCTGCGCCAGAAGCGTCTTGTCGCCCTCCGGGAGATGCTCCTCCAGGGCCAGCACGATGCAGTTGGCGATGATCGTCAACAGCACCGCGTACTCGAACGGAGTGAAGAGTAGTTAAGGGAAACTCTAATGGTTGAGCCGATAACACGTGGTATGACACACACACACAGAATTAATGGAAAACACAAACACTGAACTATAAGTCAATAACAATATGTACAAGGAAATATACCTGAAAATCTTTAAAGAAATATTATTAGAGATTATTTAAAGCAATTAATTAAGACATATGTGACTGTGGATATGTAGGAACAATATGTAGTTGACCTCTTGACCAGTTCTGTAAAGATAATTAATCAGAAATGACATCATGACCTCGAGACCTGTAATAACCACAAGCACATGCATACACAGACGCACATATACGTACAACCCTTTACAAACATCTACACAACCTTTAAAACTTCCTTACAAAACATCTAAAAACCCTACAGTACTCACAACCCCACCACCACCCCTACAACCCCCACCACCCTCTACAACTCCACCATCACCCTCTACAACCACACCACCACCCTCTACAACCCCCACCACCCCTACAACCCCCACCACCCCACAACCCCACCATCAGCCCCCTACAACCACACCACCACCCTCTACAACCCCCACCACCCCACAACCCCACCACCCTACAACCCCACCATCACTCCCTACAACCACACACCACCACCCTACAACCCCACCACCCTACAACCCCACCACCCCACAACCCCACCACCCCTACAACCACACCACACCACCCCAACCCCACTCCACCCTTACAACCCCACCACCCCAACCTCCCACCATCACCCTACAACCACACCACCACCCTCTACAACCCCACCACCCCCACACAACCCCCACCACCCCACCATCACCCCACAACCACACCACCACTCCCCACAACCCCCACCACCCCTGGCCAACCCCACCAACACCTCATAACCCCCACCAATTCCCTGCACAACCCCACCAACACTTCTACAACCCCACCACCCCTACAACCCCCACCAACACCACGCCTACACACCTTCAGTAGCTCACTAGCGTCTCTCCATCACCGAGGTAAACTTCTCACTAACTTTACTACCTCAAAGTTTACACCTAAGAAACGATTATATACTGGCTGAGTCCTTGTCGTCGTAGTAGTCGTAGTAGTCGTAGTAGTAGTGATAGTAGTCGTAGTAGTAGTCGTAGTAGTAGTCGTAGTAGTAGTGATAGTAGTCGTAGTAGTAGTCGTAGTAGTAGTCGTAGTAGCAGTAGTGGTAGTAGTCGTAGTAGTAGTCGCAGTAGTCGTAGTAGTAGTCGTAGTAGTAGTCGCAGTAGTCGTAGTCGTAGTCGTAGTGGCGCCAGAGAGTCACTCAAACACCGCACTGCACCACACAGCGGCCCAGGAGGGGAGGGGAGACATAGGGAAGAGGGGAGGGGAGACAAGGGGAGAAGAGACAAGGGGAGAGGAGACTAGGGAAAATGTAAGGGGAGACATAGGGAGGATGGTAGGGGAGATGAGAAGGGGGAAGAAAGGGAAGGGGAGAAAGACAAGTGGAGGAGAAGGGAAAGGGAGAGGGAAGAGGAGAAACAAGGGGAGGTGGAGGGGAGGGAAGATGAGGAGAGGGAAGGTGAGGGGAGACGGGGAGGGAAGGTGAGGGGAGACGGGGAAGAAAGGGAGGGGAGAAGACAAGGGGGGGGGAGAAGGGAGAGGAGAGGGGAAGGAAAGCTCACTCACACACTCACCAACTAAAGGTGCGTAAGTACAAGTCAAAGTTGCGTTAGTGCTGAGTTGGTCCATACGCCCGCCGGCGCCTCTGATAACACGCCAATACACACAAACAAACACACAAAACAAACAAACACACACACACAAACAAACAAACAAACACACACACACACACACACACACAAACAAACAAAACAAACACACAAACAAACAAACAAAAACTCCCTCAGATCAGACCAGACCACCAACTACCGGACCACTATCCTGCCCCACACGCCTCCCACGCCCCCAACCTCATTTATCTTCCTCCTACTACTACAACTACTCCTATGTCCTCCTCCTCTACCTCCTCCTCCTCCTAAACTTCTTCTTTCTTCTTCTTCTTCCTTCTCCTACTCTTCCTCCTTCATCTTCATCACCTCCTCTTCCTCTTCACTCCTTCGTCTTCCTCCTCCCTACAGAACCCCATTAGTCTTAAAGGTTAGGTAAGGTTAGGTTAGCATAGGTCAGGTCAGGTCAGGTTAGGTCAGGTTAGGGTCAGGTTAGGTCAGGCAGGTTAGGTTAGGTTAGGTAACAAAACACGACTGTAGGAATCCAATTTATATTAATTTTCTCTTTCCATGTAATTCCCTCTCATCCCACTCGACTCGCCACCTCACCGCCATAACACCATCCCACTCACCCCCACCCCTCTCACCGCCAAAACACTCATCCCACTGCCTCACGCCAACCACCTCATCCCACTCACCTCGCCCCTCTCACCGCCAAACACTCATCCCACTCACCTCACCTCCACGCCAAACACCTCATCCCACTCACCTCGCCCTCACTGCCAACCCTCATCCCACTCAACCTCATCCTCTCACCGCCAAAACACCCTCATCCCACTCACCCGCCCTCTCACCGCCAAACACCCTCATCTGAGTAGTACCCACATATGTTAGAAGCCAGGCGTTGGTGTTAGCTAGAGCTGGCGTTGCTTTGTGATACGTCGAGTGAGTCGTTGATTACCACAGAGACGACAACAACGACGACAACAACGACAACAACGACAACAACAAGTGGGGTGGGATGCTGTCTACATACTTGGGTTATATTTTCGTGTGGTTGTGGTGGTTGGTGGTAGGTGGTGGTGGTAGGTAGTGGTGGTAGGTAGTAGGTAGTGGTGGTAGGTAGTGGTGGTAGGTGGTAGGTAGTGGTAGGTAGTAGGTGGTGGTGGTAGGTAGTGGTGGTGGGTGGTGGTAGTGGTAGTAGGTAGGTAGTGGTGGTAGGTAGTGGTAGGTAGTAGTGGTAGTAGTGGTGGTAGGTAGTGGTGGTAGGTAGTGTTGGTGATTGGAGGAGGTGATGGTTGTAGAGGTGGTGGTTGTGGTAGATAGTGGTAATGGTTGTTAGTAGTAGTAGTAGGAATAATGGTGGTGGTAAAGATAGTGGTTGTGGAGGAGAGAGAAAGAGAGAGGAGATGGAAGAGAAGAAGAAGGGAGGAGGAGGAAGAGGAAGAAGAGAAGGAGGAGGAATAGAAGGAACAGGAGGAGGAGGAAGAGGAAGAACAGGAGGAGGAGGAGGGTGAAAATCTATGCCTGGCAGAGCTCTCGTCCTCCCAGTGTTTCAGAGTGACTGTAATTCCCAAACTTGTGGAATTCGTGGATACTGTGAGCCAGAGAGTGTGGTGGTGGTGTGGTGGTGGTGGTATTGGTGGTGTGTGGTGATGGCATGGTGATGGTGTGGTATGTTGTTGGTGGTGTGGTGATGGTGTGGCGGTGATGGTGTGGCGTGGTGGTGTGGTGATGGTGTGGCGGTGGTGTGGTGGTATTGTGGCGGTTTTTAGTAATTAACAGAAAAATACTAAAGAGAGATAGTGAAACGTGGGTGGGCCAGACCGTAGAGTTTTGCACCACTTTAGGCCAGGTCGGTCACGACTCGTACCTGAATTATCGTCCCCCAACAAGTCAGAACCCAACACCCCAAGCAAGTTAGAACCCACCTGAACGCCCCAGACCCCACACCCCCAGACGCACCAGAGCCCCACACCACCCCCGAACGCACCAGGACAACCACCCCCTGAACGCACCAGGACCCCACACCCCCCAGAACACCCCAGGACACCCCTCCGAACACACCAGACACCCACACCCCTCAACAGACCAGAACCTCCCCATGCTGTAAGCCGGAGAAGGGAGGGGTGAAGGGGTAGGGTGAGGTGAGGGGAGAAGGATGACGTCCCAGGTATTCATAAATTAAGAGACGCTCATAACACACCTAGCCACGTCATGTAGCGTCATGGATCTGGCAGCAATGAGGCAGTATCGTGGGTCTGCGAGCTATCGTGGGTCTGGCAGCAGGGAGGCAGTATCGTGGGTCTGGCAAGTATCGTGGGTCTGGCAGCAGGGAGGCAGTATCGTGGTCTGGCAAGTATCGTGGGTCTGGCAGCAGGGAGGCAGTATCGTGGGTCTGCAAGTATCGGTCTGGCAGGAGGCAGTACCGTGGGTCTGCGCATCGTGGGTCTGGCAGCAGGGAGGCAGTATCGTGGGTCTGGCAAGTATCGTCTGGCAGCAGGAGCGGTATCGTGGGTCTGGCAAGTATCGTGGGTCTGGCAGCAGGGAGGCAGTATCGTGGTCTGGCAAGTATCGTGTCTGCGTATCGTGGGTCTGGCAGCAGGAGGCGGTACCGTGGGTCTGGCAGCAGGAGGCAGTATCGTGGGTCTGGCAGCAGGAGGCGTATCGTGGGTCTGGCAAGTATCGTGGGTCTGGCAGCAGGGAGGCAGTATCGTTCTGGCAGCAGGAGGCAGTATCGTGGGTCTGGGAGCAGGAGGCAGTACGGGTCTGGCAGCAGGAGGCAGTATCGTGGGTCTGGCAGCAGGGAGGCAGTATCGTGGGTCTGGCAGCAGGGAGGCAGTATCGTGGGTCTGGCAGCAGGGAGGCAGTATCGTGGGTCTGGCAGCACAGACTGCCGTAATCAATACAGGTTGAGGATAGCATACCTGTACACGGATTAACCTCACCGCCCCTAACCCCTCTTATCACCTGGTCATTACCTTGTTACTCACAGCAGCAGTGAGTGACAAGGCGCTGTGGGTAACCAACTGTTGTGAGTGACCAGGTGCTGTGAGTGACCAGGTAATGAGTGACCAGATGCAATGAGTGACCAGATGCAATGAGTGACCAGGTACAGCGAGTGTTGGCCAGGTACTGCGTATATACCCAACACTGGGGCTCGTACACTAAAGGGGACACTCAACAACACAAAACAAATTGAACTCCTCTGGTGTAAAAAACAAAACAAAGTCTCATTATACTTTCGACGCCATTTTGAACCGCCATCTTTAAACCACAGCTTAAATAAACCCA